GACAACATGGAACAAGTTGGGGATAGAATAATAATTGATAGAGAGGTTTCAAAAAGGAGATTTGTATTATAGATAATAATTGGCCAACCTGACAACCTCTCATTTCATTCAATTCCTATTTATATTTAGTAATCTCTTCTCCTCTTTTCTTCCTCCTCGTTTCACATCTCACTTCTCTCTCTTCATAAGAACCCTAGCTAGCTACTACAAGGCATTGAATAACGTTTCTCTTGTCATTCATTCATTTCTACCCATAAACCAAAGCTTTCTCTTGTCTATTCGAGTAAACTGATCATATCTATCATGATGATGGGAAAAGAGGATCTTGGTTTAAGCCTAACCTTAGGATTTGCACATAATCCTGTCCAGCTGAATCTAAAACCCACTTCTTCTTCTTCAATGCCGTCCAATCTCCACATGTTTCCATGGAACCAGACCTATGTTCCCTCCTCAGGTACCGTACTACTACTATCCTTCTTCTTCTTGTACAAAGTCTTAAGCTTTTTCCCAAGAAAGCACAAAAGAAACAGATCTTGAAATAACTTTTTTCCATTTTGTAGATCATCAGAAGCAACAGTTTCTTAAGAAAATCGACGTGAACAGCTTACCATCGACGGTGGAGTGCGAAGAAGAGACAGGAGTTTCGTCTCCAAACAGCACGATCTCGAGCACAGTGAGTGGTAAGAGGAGGAGCGAGAGAGAAGATGACATAGACATCATCACTCTGGACCGATCTACTTCCCGTGGAACCTCCGACGAAGAAGAAGATTACGGAGGAGACGCTTGTCGGAAAAAGCTCAGGCTATCCAAAGACCAATCTGCTGTTCTTGAAGACACTTTCAAAGAACACAACACTCTCAATCCCGTAAGTCACATTCATTCATTCAGAGAGAGTGAGGGTAGGCTTGTAAACAATAATACTCTAATGTTTGATTTAACAAGGGCTTTATGGTAAATTCATGCAGAAACAGAAGCTGGCTTTGGCTAAGAAGCTTGGCTTAACCGCAAGACAAGTGGAAGTGTGGTTCCAAAACAGAAGAGCAAGGTAGAGAAACTCTCATTTTTAACATATGTAATTGACCATTTTACCCTTTTAGCTAGAGCAATGTTACTTACAATACAACCCTTTTTATTTGTGTCTCAATATATAGGACCAAATTGAAGCAAACCGAAGTGGATTGTGAGTATTTGAAAAGATGTGTAGAGAAATTGACGGAGGAGAATCGACGGTTAGAGAAAGAGGCAGCGGAATTGAGGGCGCTAAAGCTTTCACCGCGGCTGTATGGTCAGATGAGTCCACCGACCACGCTTCTCATGTGTCCATCATGCGAACGCGTGGGCGGACCATCTAACCACAACCACAACCAACGGGCTGTATCATTGAGCCCGTGGCTCCAAATGGCCCATGGATCATCAACCTTTGATGTGATGCATCCTCGGTCTTAACTTTTATTCCGGTTTTGCGGGCTGTATGTGTGGGTCATTGTACTTTTTAGATTATTGACTCTCCGCTACTATGTAATCCTTAAAAGCCTTTCTCATTTTAAAATTACTTATTAATCTGATTAAACTATACTTCTTCTTGATGACCCCAAAAAAAAAAGAAAAACAGCTCTTCATTTAACCACATTACAATGCTGACGAAATCATGAATCCAATCTTAGTATATACCCAACATAATAATGGCTCGATCACATGCTGATTCACTCGATCTTGTACCTGGTCTCTCTAAGAAAAAGGCATGTATGTAGTCTATGTATTGAGTTTTTTTTGCTAAAAAAGTCTAGTCTATGTATTGATAAATAAAGAAGCTCTTGTTTTACGCTTATTAATAAACCTGTTCACGATTGCATTAAGATAAGACCGATTTTGGAGAGAGAGCATAACAATGAGGAGGCCTTATTCATTAGTTCAGGTTAATCTACATCATCAAGATTGTAATGTCTCCATTGCCTTGTGGTTAAGTCTGCATTAAGAAGAAAACTTAGGTTGGTTCTGGAGGTAAGGCACAACGTATTTCACAACGTCATCTTTCGCCATTTGCAAGTGCTCTCCAGGGACACTCACAAACTTCACTTTTCCAGCAACATCCAATGTTTTCAGACCAATCCAGTCCTCTCTATAGAGCTTTGTCTGGAGAAGAAACAAGTGGTTTGGTTTGGTTGATGGTCAGACGAAAAGATATGAAACAGAGAGATAATTAAGAGGTTCCACCTTTTGAGGAGACAAAAGAGGTTTTGAAGCTCCATCCGGGTAATATCCGAACCAACAACTTGCTTTAGGAATGACTACTTTATCACTCTGGAACTGTTTAGGAAAATGAACAAGACAAAAAATTAATGAGCTACCTAATCAACATTGTTGTTCAAGATTTAGGTGAAATATCAAGGATCATTGGTTTTAGTTACCATGACGAGGACCAAGTTGTGCAAGCTGGTGAAACGTTGTTTAAAAGTTGAGTTCCTCTCTTTAGGTCTCTCGTTGTTGAGCTTTGGCAGATACTTGGAGTGCTCCAAGTACTTTTTTATATCCTGCCAACCATATAACAACACTTTCTATGAGGTATATTCGTATAACTGGAAGTGTTTTTGAGGATTAGAAAGATAAGGGTTTGAGTTTACGGTAGGGATTTTGATATAACCACTTGGAGCAATATGATCCTGCAAAGTCATTAGAAGTGTTATTAATCATGGTTTAAGGTTTTGAATCCTGATTAG